CTAAAATAAAGTAGTTAAACTTTTAGTTTGTCACGAATTTCAAAAGATAGTTAAACTAAACTAAAGAAAGTTAATTAAACTATAAAAAAAACTTTTTGGGGGGGGGGGGGGGAGAGGGGGTTGAACTAGACCTATATAGATATAATCATCCGAATGTAGGCCTACGGTTTGATCTTATTCTTTTAACATTCTAGTACTATTTATGTATAATAAAATCAGTATTAAGGAATATGTTTCTTACATAAACGTTAATGCACAATAAAATAAAATGTCTAAGTAATATGTGTGCTTGTATTTTTGCCTTAAAACCTTTAGAAAATAATGGTAGGCCTAATTGTTTGTTTTTTTTTAATTTTATTAACTTATCATAGAACGGAAAATCTTACTTATACTGGTAAAGTTTAAAATCTCATTAAATAGATTTAAGATTTCAAATTTAGATCTAGTATCCAAAGAAATACAAACGAAATCGTTGGAGTTTTTAAAACATTTGACCAGTATAACTATTTTATAGTGTAAAATGCATGCCTGAGCTAGCCAGAAAAACCAGTGACTTGGCAGAATTTAAGTCATTGGTTAATATGCATGACTAAATGCATGACGCGTAGGACGTAATCATCTTCTTTTTTGAAGTAACGTCTGTATTATATAAGATAAGATAAACGCGCAAGGGAAAAAAAACTGGGTGATCTTGTCATTATGGACTGCACAGTCAGTACACTATATTGTGACTATATAGACCTACACGTGTACGTCTATCTGGCCAGGTTGTTAAAATCAGTCGTACACACTGTCTATTTACTTTCTGGGCAGGGAGGGTGTTTAACTATTTTAGTGTAAAGATATATCTACGAACATGCTTGACAGCCACGCCAGTGTGTTATTTTCTTGTCTGACCTCTCCACATTAAGCAAACACTATTAGTATTGCATAATGTTTAATGCAGGGTAGTCTTGCAGTATTGTCGACTACACACGTACAGTACACTAGGCCTACATGTGGTAATGTGTTTGTCTAGCTGAAGAGGTTGTTAAAATCAGTTGAACACAATCTATTTACTTTATGGTCAGAGAGGGTGTGGATTAAGCTTTTTTTCTAGAGCTGGTTACCCTAATGCTTTTAGATCTATATAGGCCTAGCTGTTGATTTAGACTAATAGATCTCAATAATAAGTCTTAAGACTATAAAAGGGTGTACTTGATGTTCCTGCAGTTAAAAAAATATTGTTTGCCGCAAATGAATTTATTAAAACCACTAAATATTGACCTAACTCACTAATCAGATTCCCACTAGAAACAGAAATTAAACACCTCCACGTGGCTCATAAAAAAATTCGGAACAACCCCATTCATAATACTGCATAGACGTTTTTGGCAAAAAATGTTTAACATTTTATAATACTGCTACTTTCAAGTGCAAATATTTACTCCCATAACTTCTACCAGGACCTTACTTTAACTGCATCATTTTTTTTTATAATCAAAGTTATTGATATCACATGTGCAGAAAACAGGAAGTGCGTTTCAACCCTGACCACATGTTCAAAAGTTTTACAAATTTTAATTAAACTTTTTAGTTAGTAACTACAAAAATTAATTAAACTACGATTTTAACTGAACTTTTTTTTTTTTTTTTTTTGTAGTTAAACAATGGCCTTAACAAATTTTTTTTTGGTTTAACTAAAAGTTGTTTAACTTTTTAGTTAACTTTTGCCCATCACTTGTGATGATGTTTAGTACATTACATCTCGTTTAAACAGCCAACATTTCTCCGCATCCGTGACTGAAAAAGTTTCTAAAAGCTTCTTTCATTTGCTGATTCGATGCGGAGATAAGGATTGTCTGTGCATGAGGTATTCAGTCGAGGTTATCTTTTTCCCTGTGATGTGTGGATCGTAGGCTAGTTGGCATCAGTCTTATATTAATATTAATGTGGGATTGGTATCACAGTCGGCGCTTTGGTAGCAACGTATTAGCAGTTATGTTGCCAGTGCCCAGACCTTGAATGCCTCCACGAGACTCAGTGCTGTGGTTTTGTCTTGTTAGTAATGCAGAGCATTCTTAGGCCATTCTTATTTCTATTGTCAATTCCAAAACTCTCAAGGCAGTCTAGCCACTGGTCTCCTGGTAATATCAAGTGCTCTTTTAGACGAATGTTCACAATTTGCTTCCTTGAAGTATTCATAGAACTTTCTCCTGAAGTGAATAAAGTGTCAGGACATAAGCACTGATTAGACCGACATTTCCAGATGTTGTCCTTATGTTAATGCTTATTAAACTTTCCAAGACACCAACAGGAAGTTGGATAGTTGACTTAACTACTTATTCCTTGATGCACGGGAGGTGGTAACAGGGATCAAATAGTTCAATTCAGGGCCGGCCCTAACAAATGCGGGGCCACGTGCGAAACGGATTGCGCGAGGCCCAGTCTGGGTAAGGATTAGCATAATGTCAAAATTTAGATTTTGTATATGAAAATATTTTCGTCTTTACAATAGATATTTATTAAATGAAAGTTGACAATGCAGGTTTTTTTTTTTTTCGCGCATACGATTGGCACCCCAAAATGACAAATTTGTCTATTTTTCAGATTTTTGAGTGTTGAGATTTCAATAATTTCATGAGATTTACAGGACTTTTTCGTATATTTTGCAATTTCTGGAGATTTCCAGGACGCCCTAGAAAACCCTGTTATTATATAAGTTATAATTTAATAATTTACACCTAGAATTAGCGCGGGGGCCTACTTCGGCAGCATAGGTAGCAGTCCACTAAGGCCGGCCCTTATTAAGAGCTTACATAGTATATGGTATATAGATGCATGAAAAGATTTCCAAAGATATTGAGTAACAAGTCCTAGTTTATGAGAACTGATCTGGTTTTAGAAGCTGACTGTGATAAAGGAATCTTCGATCGCGGGGCCCTTTTCAGGCGCGGTCGCCTCACTTGTCACCTGCTAAGGCCGCTACTGGTTCCATTTTCTATAGGCAGACCCTTAAGCTAGTTTAAAAACATGCGGCTGTTGATTGTTTTTTTTTTTAAGTCATATTACCTTAAACCAAAAGAACATGTTCATCTATAAATATTGTTTTGACATGAACACAACCTAATTTTAAAAGAGCAGGACATGTGGCTGTTGATTTGTTTTTTTAAGTCATATTACCTTAAACCAGCCTTATACAGCCTGTGGGCCATTTTAATTTCCGACACTCGTGTCGCGGGCCACATTAATGAAAAAAGATACAGAAAAAATGTAATAGAGACACCATTTTAAATAGTTTTATAACAATCCCGTGGATCCAACCATAAGTAAATTATGTAACAAGGGTTTCAAGTGTCTTATAACTGAAACAGTTTTTCTACTAAATTAAGTGCTTGTAAACATTGTGATCCTACACAGCAATTGTTTTCGGAAACGTGCAAGGTGTATGTAGACAACACGGGGAAGAAATCTATTGTCTGTATTGCTCGACATTTCTCAAGCAGGGAAGTCTGTCTTTCTAAGTCAATCAGTTCCAGTTGGTATCACTCCTCAGCGGCAATAGTAATTATTTCGAAATCTGCTGCTCTGTCATTTAGTTTTGAATGGAGATTTTTATCAACATTGTAACTCGTTTTTGCAATTGTCATGCCAGAAATGCTGACAGCTTCAATTGCATTTTTTTTTCAGGCTGATTTTATTCCATCACTGCTAACAAGCACTTTTTTAATGCTTCATTTCTCTTAAAATGTGAGCACCTCTGTAGCCTCCATTACAGCCGCGACTCATTTTCTTGACTTCATGGTAAATATTTTCGTCACTCGCTCAACTCTAGACGTCACTTAGCGACTCTTTTCATAGCGGCTCAAGCCGACAGTACATCCATATTTTTGTAATGGTTTGTTTAGGAAATACAGGTAGAGCCATGTACAAAGAAATGACTACGCCTAACAAACTGGACAGTATTAACGTCCTCCCCCGCAAAGAACAATCTACAATCTTCCAACTAAGAACAGGACACACACCACTATTAAATTATCACCTGAACAAAACTCCCCCTTTGCAGACACTGCGCCCACCCCTTTGAAACCGTAAACCATATCCTCTTTGAATGCCCCTCTCTAATCCACCTTAGGCAGACCCTACTTCCACTACAGCCCAACATAACCAACACCCTGTACGGCAGTGCTGAAGAAAGCCCACTTTTTTTCCTTGGCAAAGTCTGCAAAAGAGCTCACAGCTCAGCAGCAATAAAGCTGGCTAGAAGAGGAAGTAATGGTTTGTTTTAGAACGCCTTTTAAGTTTTGTTCTTTGAAACAGCCACGACACTTTCAGTACAAATCAAACATGTTGTCTTGTTCATTTACATTTAATAAAGATTTGTCTACTTGTTCTGGAAGTTTTAACATCCAATTCTTCGACACTCCCATTTCATTAACAGACAAATGTTACATGGAATGGCACCTATCGTGTTGATGTCAGCAGTACCTGAACCAAAATGATGCAGAAAAGATGCGCTGCCTTTTACACATGGGATGTCAAAGACACAGCTAGCTCAAGACAGCCGCTGAATCGTCCAAGACTCTAAAATAACTTTCAATTCTTGGCGCTGAAAAAAAAAACAACTTGTGTTCTTATAGAAAAAAATTAGCATGAATACAATATAACTAATAATACATAGATTAGTATGAAATACATCAAAGGAATCGTGAGAGTCCTAACATAGAGGAAATACATTTTCCAACCTTTCTCTATATTTTCTACATTTTGTGCTTATGTTTTGGCGGGCCTGTCAGAACCACATCATCTGGCCCGCAGGCCGTAGTTTGGGCATCACTGCCTTAAACCAAAAAGAACAGGTTCATCTATAAATACTGTTTTGACATGAACACTCAACCTGATTTTAAAAGAGCAGGAGAAAAAAAATGGGGTGGGGGGAGAGCACATTCTATGAATAAAATTATCAGACATTCAAAAGAGTATATAGAAAGCATTCCTTATTGAAGCAACTCCAAAATAAGTTGTTTTTTTTCAATTGTAAATTTTTATTACTGAAAATGTAGCAAGATAACAAATGTAAAGCAGGACAAGATTTAAACCAACTGAATTCCTCAAGTTTTCATCTTCTAACTGCCTCAACATACAAAAAAACTGACATTAAAAAAAAAATAAATCATTTCATGCTATCAACATTTGAAAACTTAAATGTGATCCTTGAAGTTCATTACAAAAGTAAAACTATTCTAACACTTTTAATGCAGCATACATCATCACATGACACAAAAAAATCTTAAAAATAGATCTATACAGTCAGCTAGCACATTATTTATATAAAACGTTTTAGATAAATGTGAACAAATAATACTTTTTTTAGACAAGTTTACATAGATCTAGTGACATCACAAATGAATGAGAGCACACCATAATATTCATTCTCATAAAGATTTTAGTCACAACCTATAGAAGATGACACAAAGTCAAAAGTAGAGACTCATCAAACTGCCCTATAGGTTGAGCATCTATAAGCAGCTTATTCTTAAACACACAGATAGGATATTACCCTAGGCCTCTCGCATTTCCAGGTCTACAAAATAAGGGAATCTCAGCTGTACTGTGAGGCAATCATGTGATTTTCCAGGTCTACAAGATAAGGGAATCTCAGCTGTACTGTGAGGCAATCAGTTTAATCACATGATAAAACCCAGAGAACAAGTAATGTTGACCAGATATACTGGCTAAGTGAGACCAGTCAAGACATTCAATAATGTATGTAGCTTAATATCTGTGTTTACATATTCTAAAAAGTACACCCAATAACCATATTAAATATAACATAAAGGTTTTTTTACATAGCATGCTACTAAAAATATCAAACTAACCATAAAAAAAAAAATGAAAATGCCTGCATATTACAATAATACTTGATAATAAGGCTTAGTACAAATACAGAATATATTAAAAGTGTTGTCACTGTCGCTCCAGACTAGTAGCTAAATCTAGACTCAGTCTTGTATCCAAGCTTGTCTAGATTAGGTATGCAGGCAGCATTGATCATTGGAGGAGGTCCGCACATCAAAATAACAGTATCTGGCCCAGAAGGAGGTAAGTGCTGTTTGATCATCTCTTCATTAATGAAACCAGAACTATACTTCCAGCCTGTAAAAACATTGAAGGTTTAAAAAAATATAAAAAAAAAAAAATTCATTTCAACCTTTAAGTTTTGTATTACTTAGAGCAAAAACTTTTAAGCATTTGTGTGTAACAATACACATAATAACAAAATATATATCGCTGGTGTTGTTATAATTGTATTTTTACAAAGTAATGTAAATGTTATGCCTTGATGAAATAAATTGAATTAAAATATTAGAAAAATAGTAAAAAGAAACTTGAGCAGGTCCATTTCCATCACAAAGTGCCTAAATATATTTGATTAGCTGTCGGCCTTTATGTTGTCAAAGCCTCAATGATATTAGAGAAATGTACACAACATAAATTTATTAAGGTATTAAAAAGGTATTAAATCTTACCTGCTTCAGGTCTGTCTAAGGTGTACCACAAATGAAACCTACTTGGATAAGCATTCTGAATTTCTTCCAATTCTGGTCGCAGCAAGATATCCTTTTCAGTCTGAAATATTCACCAGAGGTTACAGTTGTACCTTTTTAATTAAGTTCTGACATAATGAAGTCACCTCATCAACTTTTAACACCAACCTGATTGGCAAACAGCAGCCATAAGTCTGTTTTATCTTCTGAATCCTTAAACACCTGTCTAACTAGTTGCAACATTGGAGTAATACCTGAGCAAAAATGAAAAACCATATTAAATGTACTGCAAACAAGATTTTTTTAAAAAGGACACAAAAGACCATATATATTATTGTAACTCCAGTGGCAGACTGAACGGGTCAATGTGTGTGCGACCAACTGGCACATGTTGCTCAGGCAAATCACATAGGTCAAGGGACAGTACTGCTAGTAAACGCAAATATGACCCTTGTTATGGTCATGTGATCGAAAACCTTCACGTATGAGAGACAGTGTGTAAGTAAGAGTTCAGTCCAGGACAGCAAGGTAGTAAGGACAGTGCGATACAATGTGAGTCCTTGAGAATGTAGCTGTACTAGTCTAGGAGTAGACAGTGATACTAGCAATGTTTAGTAGGCAGTTCTGTTAAGTACTAGAAAGCATTTGTAGTTAATGTAACCAATTGTAGCCTGGTAGAGAAAATCATAACAATATTATGGAGAAAGTATAAATTTTGACATTTTTAAATCAGCAAAAATTGTACCTGTTCCACCTGCAATCATTCCAATCTTCTTGGCTTGTTTAGTCTCAGGCTCTGCTTTCTTGTCTGGCCTGATCTTCAATGTTCCTGTTAATGTTAAGGATCAACTAAGCTAGAAAACAATACATTCCCTCACTTTAATAATAATAATAATATACTAAAGAAAGAGAAAAACAAAACAACAATGTTTAAATCTTTAGTACCTTTTCCCACATACTGCAGTAAGCCATTAGGTCCTCGCACATCAATGTAATCCCCTATGTCCATATTTTCAAGATACTGAGACATTTTGCCCCCCTCTGGAAACATAGGATGGACATTCTTGAAGTACACCTATAATCAAATCAGTTAATATATAATATAATTAATGTTGTTTTTTTAAATTGGGCCTTTATTTCAAGAAACAAATTTACTTTGAAATACTAAATAAACTTCATATGATTATTGTAGTTATATGATTTGAATAAAAAGATATTAAAAGAACAAAACACAATTACTTTAACAACAAGATCTGTATAGCCTTTGTCATCATCGCTAGAAACGGGGGTGTATGGACGAATAACTAACTGATCATCAATATTGACTGTCAAATATATGTGCTGACCTGCAACACACAGAATACTTCAATATTACAAAACTCTGAAAAATGAAAAGTTGATAGACAATGTCAATTTGGCTATTAACTAATGATGTCAAATATGTGACCCTTCTAGTGATATGGATAAGGTAGGGTGTTTTAATGATGTGCTTTTTCAAATTAAAGTCTACAATTTTATAATTAAAAAAAAAAATATTCAATATCTTTTCTTGGAAAATTTACAGGAATCTGGTATCTGGCTTCTGCATGACAAGACAAGACTCAATAAAGCATCCCCCTTCCAGATTTGCTTTTAAATGTCTAGTAAATGCTGACAAACACCTCTTAGGTAACTTTAAAACCCCAGATTACTATAAGGGTGTAAGTTAATAGTAATAGAATGTGGGTACCAAGGTTATGTGGTAGAGAACACTTTGTTCAATAACTATGTGCCTTAGTTTCAAATTCCAATGGAATGTTGTATTTTGGAACATCAAAAATCTCTTAACTACAAATGTTAAAAAAAAAAAGCATTTGGTCCGTAGCATACTGTAATAGCATAAGCAATAAAAAAAAAAAAAATCAACAAAAGGCAGTGAACTGTTTTCACATTCTACAAAATATCATAGGGTTATCAGTAATATTGTTAGACACCTAGTTTATAGTATTAGTTATTTAGCGACGCACCATAGAAGACGTATATTGAACGCGACTAGTGACGTTTGGGATATTTTGGGTTAGAGACTGGAAAATCAGTTAGCGATAGAATCCTCTAGGGTAAAGACGTGTTTATTTTGACAGAGACCTTTTACTGTGGCCTTTTCTTAGAATAAATATATGATAAATTGTTCATCAGTGTTGACCACATCTCTTTACTCGTTAAATCGATCGTCTTGTTTATTCTGTATTGTTGATCAACTACATTGAATACACCCGAACAATGAAACTCAAACGCTTGCAGAGTAATTGGTTGAAATTCAACAGTCAGCTATAGTTGACCTCAAGACAGCCTGAACAAGTACATCACAATAACTGTTCAGAATCAGTTTAATATAAGATTTATTTATAAGACATTTTCTTGAACATTTAATACAAATATATTTTTGTCTTTACACAAGGTGACCAACACTATTAGAGTTACTCAGAATTTTGGATTTTTCACTCAAATAAAAATGTAAAAAAAAAACAACAAGTGACTTACTGTGAGAAAAATAAGTTCCCTCTATCAAGTAAGAACAAGAAAACTTACCAACAGGTAACCCAAGAATATGTTCAGGACTAGGAAGGGCAAAGCGAAATCTTCTAGTGTCATGGCTGATTATCTAGAGAATAAACAAACTAGATTATAGCAAAGACTGCTGCATGGGTAAACGACTGCATAGAAAATAGATTATAGCATTTTGGTTTATGTAGCATAATTACCCACTGAACAAAAAAAAAAAAAAAAAAAAAAAGCCACAATTGAATAAATATGAAATGCTAAATATGGCTTAACATCTATATATAATTCTCTTCATGGATCAAGAGTTTGGACACCACGTAAAGGAAAGATCACTCTTTTATTTCTGCAAGTCGGACGGACTAGAGTTACCCTACGAAAAAAAAAGGGGGGGGGGGGGAACAAGTAGAATTCACTCATCACTAAATAGCAGGGGCGGACTCAACCGTTGTGGGGCTCTATGCGAAACAGATTTGCCGTGGCCAAGTTTGGGTAGGGATACGGATAATGAGTAAAAATTCAGAATTTGTATTAGAAAATACATTTGTCCTTGCATTTTATTCGTTTTTTACTACTACAGAATTACTTTACGAACCTTGCATGTAGCAAAGCCATACAGTACATCATAAAAATTCTGTTTCCTATGTAGATCACGCTCAATAGCAAGAATTACCAAATGTTTCAATCTATCTTCGAGAATTGTTGACCTCAAGTGATTCTTCATTAGTTTGAGGTGTGAGAAGCTTCTTTCACCAGATTCCACAATTACGTGTATTGCATAATGCCATTTTTACTGATCGCGCGTATGATTGGCATTTTCCATATTGAATGACAACACAAAATGACAATTTTTGTCTATATATTTCATGAGATTAGTATGAGTTTTCAAAAGATTTTTAATCATTTCTGGAGATTTCCAGGACTTTTTTGATTATTTTACAATTTCAAGGAGCTTCTGGTAAATCAGAAGGCTGCATGAATTTTGTTATAAGTTATAAAATGGTTTAATTTAACCATTTGACAACTAGAATTGCCGGAAATCGCCACACTGGTAGACAACTAGAGTCGACAGGAGTCGCCGGCAATTGCCAATTTTGGGTTGTTTCTCTTACGCATGAACTGATAGTTTTTAAATAACTATTTATACCCTTACTTACTCTGACCTAGAAGAGCGATAGTGACCCTATTGTTAGGTGTTTATTTTGTACCTGCAGCATGTTGGAATGAATTTTTAAGATTTTTAAAAAATTACGTCGAATATGGATATAATGATTGGGGTAAGTGATTTAGAGCCATTTGAGACCGATAGTAGTGAAAATGAATCAAAAATTGATGCTAGATCCAGTATTGAATATGTTAGATCTAGTCTAACAGGAGATTGGAAGGCAACTAAATATGACATGATATTTTAATGTTTTTTAGCTCTGCAGGCCTATTTATGACTGTAAACATGATGTATAACCCTAGGTCTATTTTTTCTATTATAAATAGAAGGTTTTTGTTAGGTTTTATTCGTTTTTTTCTGTGAAT